CTAAAATGACTCAGTTCAGTGGGAACAAGAAGGCCTTTCTGGAGGACATACGCAAGGTGAGTCATTGTGTTTGCCAGAGAGCTGTATTAAAGCTGCATATCAAAGCAGGTTTTGGATGCTGTAAACCCTGGTGAGGAGCTCTTGTGTTTACATTTCATGACAATTGGTTCCTGCTTTCAGCCGTCCCATTGTGCATTGGCTAGTGGTGTCCACAAAGCATAATGTGACCAATTCCTTTCCTGACCAAAGAACGGTCCCAAAGGAATTAAAATCTAAGCCACAGCAGGCAGCGACAACTGGCTGGGGTGCAGAGGTCATAATTCATGCACAGGAGCTTACTTTTTCGCCCCTCAACACTCCCATCTTTGTAATGGGGATAAGAGCTTTTGATCTCTCTCTCTATTGAGACCAAACTTTCCAACAATTGGAAAGGATATTTTGGTTCTCAGATAGCTGGAATGTGGCTGCAGTTGTACTCAACCCTGATGAGATGTGGACTAAACAGAGCATGTAGATTGTGAAGTTTCTCCTTTGACTTTGTGGAATTTCACTTGGAATGTGAATTTGGTTTTTTAGGCCCTGTATGCTTCCAAGATTATCTCGTATGCTCAAGGCTTCATGCTGCTGAGACAAGCAGCCAAAGAATTTGGCTGGACACTGAATTATGGTGGCATTGCACTGATGTGGAGGGGAGGCTGCATCATCAGAAGGTAATTGAGATGAGGAGGTAATTTAGTTGCTGAGGGGAGAAGAGCAAGCAATTTGGTTTATGCGGTGCTAGACTGACCAGCCTAGAGATTTTCTGGAAAATCCATGGAGTTAATCTGCTGATAAGATACTGAGAGGCTGTTTCTATAGATGGCACTAAAGGTTACCAGATGAAGCCAATTTTCTGGTGGCTTAGCTACTGCAGATTTTCTTCAGTCTTCGTTTTTGTTTCCATCTTTCTCAATGTTTGGAATCTGAGTCTGGCTGAGTGAAATTTTGGCACTGTAAGTTTTGGATTCTGGGCCTTTGTTGGAAGCTGTGAAATTTTATTCCTGGTTTACATGTGTTCTGCCTAGTGTGTTCCTGGGAAAAATCAAAGATGCTTTTGATCGAAACCCTGAGCTGCAGAATTTGCTGTTGGATGATTTCTTTAAGACAGCTGTTGAAAACTGTCAGGTGAGTTTCCAAGGAAGGAAGAGCATACAAACAATAGTTTACAGTCTGGACTTCTTCACCTACTTTCCCAGGAGTTACCTTCACAAGTATATTTAGGCTGAAAAAAGAAAAAGTAGAGAACATCCTTGAAACCTATTTATACAGCATCCTTAATCCCAAAGATCTCTAAACAATCCTTAACCTCTTTGGGACTGTGTATGTGTATCTGTACACGCATAATATATGGGTGTAGGAATTCTTCATCTATGGCTTCAATATATCCTTCTTTAGTAGCACGTATCAGTCTTACAGGATCAGAACAAGAAAAAAACTACGTAGTTGGAGCTGGTTGAAATTGAACAAGAAAGTGACTGTGATGAGGTAGGCTACACTGAGGTCCAGATTAGAATTTTGCCAGACAGCAGGGTTAGTGACCTGTCCTTGAAAAAATGCCTGCAAATGCCTCTTGCCTCTGTTTCATCAGAAAGTTGGAGAATGTTAGTTCCAAATGAAGGAGAAAAAAGGGGGTTGCATCACCGAAGTACTACTTTATAAATCAGCATCCAGATACATCAAGCAATGAACCGAGGTCTCGTGTAATGTTGCAAGGTATATCTGTACTGTCAACCTAAAGATAACACAGGAGCAAACGAACATATAGTCCTTGTTGTGTCGTGGTTCTTCTCTTTGATACTAGCCAAGCTACTATTAGAAACTTAAGGTTTCTATTTTACTATTACAGAAGAGCCTTAGGCAGAAATCTGGCAATTCAGAACCACCATGATGTCAGGAAGAAATGGCTGTCCTCTGTGTACATTCTCATCACTGCCCTGTATCTTGTGCCTGCTGTGCACTTGGATTTCAGTTGTGCAGAGTATAACGCTCTGTTCTATTACCATTGTTTGCAGCAGCACCAAAATAACAGCGTTCCAGACCCACCATCCATTAGACCTGGGCCTGTCTAAACAGTGTCCTGATTTGGACAGAGTCGACAGGCAGAACTAAAACCAGATTATCTGACCAACAAAGAAGTCATATATTATCATTAATTATTCATTTAACTGAAGCTGAATATTCCAGGTTACTAAATCAGATGTACAGTTGAAATGAGCATTATCCACATGTCTGATTGAAGCATTGGCCTGACCTCTTGTGCCCTTGGGCGAGCTTTGTACTGTGCTTGATTAGAGGTCCTGCAAGTGCCTCAGTCTTTGCTCAGTATGTTCCCCACTGTGTTCGTGCTTTTGGGATGCAGTAATTACATGTTTATGTGAAAGAACAGCAACCTTGCTGGAGGCTGTGGTTTGATTGCATGTGAACTATATGTCTGCACTTTTATTGTCCTGTTTGTTAACTCTATCTTACTTGCCATTATTTTGGATCAACCTTGTTTATGTAAAATCAGGAATCTACTGCTGCATTTGCTCAGACTTGGTCATTAGATTTCATATAATGTGAAACAGCACATGCTGTGATACTAGACTGGTTCGTATGCCTGCACATACCTCTGAGCAAGCACTGATTAGTTTCTTCCTTTTTTCTTTTTTTTTCCTCCCCTCTTTTCCTCTCTCCCAGGACTCCTGGAGACGTGTAATCAGTACTGGAGTACAGATCGGTATCCCTATGCCCTGCTTCACTACAGCACTTTCTTTTTATGATGGATACAGGCATGAAATACTGCCAGCTAACCTGATTCAGGTAGGTGCCTGAAATAGTGTAGCAGATCTTCTGGCTACTGAAATATCATCATGTTGTTATTTATTTAAATACTGGTCTAAAGGCCATGACGGTAGTATGTCCTAATCACTCCAACAATGTAAAGATAAAGACATAGATTGCCTAATATAATTGTGTTAAACCTGAAATTCATGGCAATAAAATACTATAAGATGTGAGATGTCTGGATGAAGAACACCAGAGATATTGGTATGACAGTGCCCCGCACGTGTTCGTATCTGTGAACCAAGGGTAATGGTATCTTTGAATCAAAATGCTTTGTAAAGAAGTAAGTATCTTTGAACCTTCGGATGTATGAAGTGCTCGATTTTTAGATTAGTACCTAGCAGAAGTAATACACTTGTCTTTCTACAGAACTCTTAATTACTAGATATTAGTAAATGTTTCATTGCAGTGATTTTGCTAATAATGAGAAAATAACTTCGAATGTTACAATACTGGAGTCAGATATTGTTTCTAGTATTCCTATAGTCAAGTATCAGTAGGTGCAGCTTCTAGTACTCATATGCCTGTGATATTCATGTGTCTATTTTGTGTGTGTGTCTTCTTATTCTAGGCTCAGCGCGATTACTTTGGTGCACATACGTATGAATTATTATCGAAGCCAGGTGTATTTATCCATACTAACTGGACAGGCCATGGAGGAAGTGTGTCCTCTTCTGCCTACAATGTCTAATGGAAATATTTCCTCTTGGAACCAAGATACTGTAGATCTCAGATATTCCTCCTAGAACACCACTTTTTACTGTACTGTGCTAGAACTTGTGTTTGGATACTTTTGTAATAACTTGTGGGTATATTTCATATATATATATATATCTCAATATATATATATCATATCAGAAAGCTAAATAAACTTGCTCATAAATGCATTGAGGTGTTTTCTTTCCACTGCTGATGGCCAAAACTGGCTAAAATGTCTTTGTGCGGTATTTAATAGAATACATTTTTAAATGATAATATTTTTATTGTATTATAGCGCATAAACTCGTAGGGATCAAGATAGAGATGACTGCATTTCAGTAGTTGCTACAGTGGAGAATGGCAGACAGCACAGTAACGCTACACAAGATTCCAGGGAGGTAAAGGCCTTTTTTTGGTTGTCGTTGTTTATTCATAACAGGCAGTAGCTTGGTTCTTAAAGATGGATTCCTGGGTGTTCCCCTGCACACAGTCCATCGCGCTGTGAGCTCCGTTTGTGTTCTGTGAAAGGGTGAAGGGTGGGATGGATCATGGAGAAACTTGAATGCAGGTGAAGGGTGTCAAGACTGATATTCCTGTCACCGAGACATTCTCCCTCCAGCTGTTGTTCCCAGTTTTAAGCTCTGGCATAAACTGTTGGCTTAGCTGTGTGCTTGCACTCTTTTCCCCAAATCTCCCTGCTTTTTCGCCTCTTCTTCCCATGGGGCAATTAAAAATACCTGCAGTAGCATGCAAAGTTGGTCCTATTTGATATCCTTGTCCTGCAATCCCACTGCCAATCATCTTCAGGACTTCTGAAAATTCACCTGGGTCCCTGTACCTTTTTTTTTTTTCCTCAGAACCTCTCAAGTGTTAAATTCTGTGCTGTGCACTGATTTTTATATTATTTTTTTGCTCCATTTATTTCTGCTAAGACAGCTACTTAGTTATTAGTTGAATATCTGTATAATTAGCAAAAGATTACTTTCAGTTTAAAGCAACTTCTCTGCAAATTATGTTCTAAGATTTAGGTATTCTATGAAATAAGTGTGTGACAATGTGCAGGCCATAGTGGTAACTGGAGGATGATGAACATTGGAGGCATCAGTTTGCCCCGGCGTTTGTGGTTTAGGTTCTCCAGCAGGAGAACTGCGTTAGAAATTGCTGTGGTGGACAGCAGGAACAGTTTTGCCAGGTTATTGTGCACATAGGTGTTGTGTTTTGGGGGAAAACGGGATAATCCCGCCAATCTGTTTTAGTGCTTAGTATGATATTAGTGCTGAGAAAAATACCTACTCTGTCTGGAATCACGTTGTGCTAAAACCTGACAGCTGCTCAGCCCGAGTAAGCGGCATGTGCCTGGCTGGGGTTACCAGGAGCAGTGCTTGGTCTGTAATCTCCTTGGAAGTGAGCCCGTGAGGGGATGGGGACATCCGCCGATGGTGCTGTACATCTCTCTCACTAGCTTACGTCTGGTATTAATCAGGCATTAATTCCCGATAGAGGGACGATCTGTCACGGTCCAGGTGGGTCCAGAGCCCCGACGTAAGGTGGTCGAGCCGCACGGGTGCTGGAGTCGCTGCTTAAAACCGGACCGTGCCCGAGGCGGTGGCCTCACAGGGTGAGGGGCAAAGCCTTCTGCAGGCCGCGCTCCGTCCCTGCTGCGGGACATCCGATTTCCTCGCCGGTAGAAAAGCATCCTCAAACACCCCTGTTGAGCAACGAGGCGGGGAGCGGGGGGTCGGCTGTCCCTCGGAGCGGCCCCTTACCGCCGCTGGGTAACGGCGCTCCCCGGGGCGGG